GGTTTTGTTTATGTGCATTTACAGTATAATCTTACAAAGCAGATTTATTTTTTAATGATGCGAATACATAAATACAGTATAATTTGTTGCTGTAAGTTTCAATTTGTACATTTTACCTGTTCTTCCACTGCCATATTAACATGGGTGCAGAGTTTGTTTCAGGTAAGGAAAGGGTTGTACCCTCAGATTAGGGAGAACATATCCAAACAGTTCTATTTGCCACTTACATAGTGATGAACTATGTGGGCTGCATGGGGGGGCAAGTTTCAACCTCACTGGCAAGTGGCAGAGCTGTGCCTGGTCAGAACAGCCCAGTATTCTGGAAGCGCAGGGGCAGTGAAAGCTTATCAAAGTGCTTTATTTGTACCTAATTGTAAAGGTAGTACTATAACCCTTGGCACCAGGGGTGGACTGACAACTCATGGGGCCCCCGGGCAATAGGGGATCATGGGGCCCCTGTGTCCTTGCCCAAACTCAAAAAAGCCTATGAAAAAGGTACCAGTGGCATCTCATGGGGTTCCCTACTGACCCCGGGCCCTTGGGCAGTGCCCGAGTTTGCAAATGGTCAGTCCGTTGGCGCTCCTTCCTCTCCCTTGCTGCTGCTAACACAGGAAAGCCAGATAACATGACCGGACCAGGGTGGGCTAAAATACACTACACGGACCGGCCACTTTATTAGGTACACCTGTGGAATTGGGGGCCCCCTACTGACCCCAGGCCCTCGGGCAGTGCCCTAGTTTCCAAATGGTCAGTCCGCCCCTGCTTGGCACAGTGGAATCACCACTCTTGGAAAATGTTCATTCAATTGTTTAATTGTGTAAAAAAAAACCAATCACAGACATGCCTCAAAACTATTTTCATTAAACATTCCAACCTTCTGGCTTTAAGAAACACTTAAAAAAATAAGAAATTAAACTGTAGACATTGCAACTGTTTTTGCAGATCAAGCAGAGGAAAAATATGTGGAATCACTCAGTTCTGAGGAAAGCATTATGGAATCACCCTGTACTTTGCAGTTCTAAAACAAATATCTCCATCAGATTACATCTGCTAATTAGTCTGCTGTGAAAAAAGAGTGCTTGCACACCTTGGTGAGCTGTTGCACCAAGCTGATTGACATGAATCATGGGCCAACACCAGAGATGCCAGTTGAAACAAAGGAGAGGATTATAACATTTCTTCAAGAAGGTAAATCATCACGGAATGTTGCAAAAGATGTTGGTTGTTCCCAGTCAGCTGTGTCTATAATCTGGACCAAGTACAAATTAAATGGGAAGGTTGTAAAATGGAAGCGTACTGGTAGACCAAGGAAGACATCAAAGTGTCAAGGTAGAAAACATAAAGCAATATGCCTTGAAAACAGAAAATGCACAACAAAACAAATGAGGAACTGGAGTCAATGTCTGTGACCGAACTGTAAGACATCACCTAAAGGAAATGGGATTTAAATACAGAAAAGCCAAACGAAAACCATCATTAACACCTAAACAGAAAAAAAAACAAGGTTAAAGTGGGATAAAGAAAAGCAATCATGGAGTGTGGATAACTGGAGGAAAGTGATATTCAGTGATGAATCACGAATCTGCTTTGGGCAGGGTGATGATGCTGGAACCTTTGTTTGGTGCCGTTCCAATGAAATGTATAATGTCGACTGCCTGAAGCAAACATGCGAATTTCCACAGTCGTTGATGGTATGGGGTTTCATGTCAGGTAAAGGTACAGGGGAGATGACAGTCATTAAATCTTCTATAAATGCACAAGTTTATATTGCGATTTTGGACACTTTTCTTATTTCATCAATTGAAAGGATGTTTGATTATGATGACATCATTTTTCAGGATAATAATGCATCTTGCCATAGGGCAAAAGCCGTGAAAAGTTTCCTTCAAGAAAGACATATAGGGGTTTATTTACTAAAGCTGGTTCACTCAGACTCTCATTGACTTCTACATGGAAACCAATCAGCTTCCAGGTTTTATTGCTAAAGCTTAATTGAACAAGCTGAGGTTAGAAGCTGATTGGATACCAGGCACAGCTGCACCAGATTCTGAGTGAACCAGCTTTAGTAAATCCCCCCCATAATGTCAATGGCATGGCCTGCAAATAGTCCGGACCTTGATCTAATTGAAAATCTATGGTGGAAATGAAAGAAAATGGTCCATGACAAGGCTCCAACTTGTAAAGCTGATCTGGCAACTGCAAGAAGAGAAAGTTGGAGCTGGATTGATGAAGAATACTATTTGTCAATAGTTAAATCCATGCCTCAGAGAATTCAAGCTGTTATAAAAGCCAGAGGTGGTGCAACAAAGTACTAGTGGCATACTGTAGTGTTTTTTTTTTCATGATTCAATAATATTTTCCTCAGAATTGACTGATTCCATATTTTTTTCCTCTGCTTGATTTTTAAAACGAGTTGCAACTGACTACAGTTTTCTTTCTTTTTCATTGTTGTGTTTCTTAAAGCCAATAGGTTGAAATGTTAAATGAAAATAGTTTTGAGGCATGTCTGTGATTCATTTTTTTTTCTACTCAATCAAACAATTGAATGAACATTTTCCAAGAGTGGGGGTTGTAGATTGCTATCCATTCTAGACTTTACAATATTAAGAACAAGTGCCAGGGGTACTTTCCTTTGCTTTTTTTGGACTTGGAAAAAAACTGGACTTTTTCTGGATTTCAAGTGCAATCCACCATTACAAAGTTTACTGATTTTGACTTGGCCAGAGATCCGGCCAAATACCTGCTTTTTTTCTCTCTGACCTGCCAAGATGCAGATTTAAGCAATCCACGCTGGTCCAACTATTGAATACTGCTAGGATGTGTATCCTGGTGCTCTGGAAGCAGGAATCTCCCCCCACGCTTTCTCAATAGTTCTTGAGAGTGTCTCAAATCCATTCCCTGGAAAACCTTTCTGCATCTTTAAAGGTTGGGAAGAAAAATTCAGACAGATGTGGTTTCACTGGACATTCTTCACATGCACCAGTGAATATAGGGAGATTCTTGCTGAGTAGGAGCGAGAAAATTTTTCACTTGTTCTGAAAAATGTCGAATGGCTAACATGTTAAGGGCTATGTGGCTGCTGTGTTATGTTGTACAAAATTTCCTTATGGCTGATACACAGATCGGTGATCTATGACTTGTTTTATTCTTGAAAAATTTCTAAATAAAGTAAAAAAAAAGAACAAATTCCAGGGAATCTTTTGGTTGTCGCAGGCACCCAAAGTCAATAGTGTGCAGCTGAAAATCCAAACCCCACTGGGCATAAAAGTCTCATATACACAAAACAGCGCACAACTATGCTTCACAGATCTTCATATATTCTCACCAGAATCTTCCCAATACAAATGCATTGTATATCATATGATCTTCGTATCTTTTCTTCTTGACCATCTACCCGACTGCTTCCAATCTCCAAAGCAAACAAAACTAATATAGTGTAGTAATTCCACATAAAATATAATACGTGATACACCCGTGCATGAATACAGGGCACTTTGTGAATCGTATCCACCACTATCCACACTGATTACGCTTACCCTCATAGGGTGAAAATGTGCATAAAACTCTCCATCAATATGATTATCCTCTTATATAAGAGTGTGACCATGCAGCATCCACCTCCAATATGCAAGTAAATCAACGTGCTCTTCCCTTCCCTTTAGGCATGCACCTTGCCCTGCATACATCAGTAATTGTTTCAATACTCAGTGTAATCTTCACTCCGTTATCTCCTCACCCGCTCTTCGTAAACTCTCAATCGCCATATAAAAGTAAACACACAAGCCCATAGTGCAGCAGTAGTGTAAAATGATCAATTTAATATTAAAATTGCACAAACATGAAAAAAAAGTACAAACAACCTGTACCAAAATGGCTGCCACTGCACTTCCAGTTACGTCTGACTTCACATTCTGCTGACGCGTTTCATCATCAAATTTACTTCCTCATAGGCATAGGTATTATATTTTACGTGTAATTTCCACACAATATTTGTTTTTTTTGCTTTGGAGATTGGAACCGGTGGAGTAGATGGTCAAGAAGAAAAGATAGAGAAGACCATATGATATACAACACATTCTTATTGGGAAGATTCTGGTGAGAATATATGAAGATCTGTGAAGGATATTTGTGCGCTGTTTTGTGTATATAAATTACAGGGAATATTCCCTGTGGTGAAACTTTCTCTATTCACACCATCTGAAATAGGAGATATAGGTGCGAGGATTGGAAAGAGGGTTGGCAGACACAAAGAATAGTATAAATGGATAATGGCATCAGAGAGACCTTTTCTTGTTCAGAAGTGTTACTGAACCCACAACAGTAATATCAGTCTGTATACGCAGTAAAGAATGCTTGTTATATTCATTGTGGAACCCAAGGGGTTAATCCTTCGTATTTTGTAAAAATTATGTTTGATCCTGTCTTCTCTGATACTCCCTTTCTTCCACAGTAACCAATCCATCTTCTGTTAGAACAGAGCCTTGGGGGCAAGCTGCACATGATCAGTTTGCTGTGTATTGTTAGAGAGTTTTTAGATTTTTTCTGATCAGCACAGGGCTAATCAGCGCTGCCCAGACAGAGGGTCAACGATTATGCAGCCTCATAGTACAATCAAGAGAGAATGAAAACTCCTCCTCTGCAGGACACTGATAGAAGTCACAAGACTGCTCTACCTGCTGATGAGAAAAGGTATTTAGTAGTTTTTATTTACTAAAATATTTGCATTTCCATGTGTACTATGGAAGACCAGATTTAGTGAATGCAAGGTCCTGGGTTTAGTAACACTTTAACTTTTAACAGCAATGCCAATTAATATATAACATGAACAGAAGTGAAACAAAGAGTCTGGACATCACATCATGTTGTACAGATAGTGGATTTTGCAAGAAAGTCAACATACATTATATTGCCAAAAGTATTGGGACACCACTCCAAATCATTGGATTCAGGTGTTCCAATCACCTCCATGGCCACATGTGTATAAAATCAAGCATGTAGACATGCAGACTGCTTCTACAAACATTTGTGAAAAAATGGGTCACTCTCAGGAGCTCAGTGAATTCAAGCATTGTACCATGATAGGTGGACACCTGTGCAATAAGTCCATCCATGAAATTTCCTTGCTACGAAATATTCCAGGGTCAACTGTTAGTGGTATTATAACAAAGTGGAAGCAACTGGGAACAACAGCAACTCAGCCACAAAGTGGTAGGCCACGTAAAATGATAGAGTGGGGTCAGTGCATGCTGAAGTGCACAGTGTGCAGAAGTTGCCACCTGTCTGCAGAGTCAATAGCTAAAGACCTTCAAACTTCATGTGGCCTTCAGATTAGCACAACAACAGTGCATAGAGATCTTCATGGAATAGGTCATGGAATAGGTTTCCATGGCCGAGCAGCTACATCCAAGCCTTACATCACAAAGTGCAATGCAAATGGATGAGCGAGTTTGGGGTGGTGGAACTTGAGTGGCCTGCACAGAGTCCTGACCTCAACCTGATAGAACGCCTTTGGGATGAATTAGAGCAGAGACTGTGAGCCAGGCCTTCTTGTCTGACATTAATGCCTGACCTCACAAATGTGCTTCTGGAAGAATGGTCAAACATTCCCATAGACACACTCCTAAGCATTGTGGACAACCTTCCCAGAAGGGTTGAATCTGTTGTAGCTGCATAGGGAGGGCCAACTCAGTCTTGAACCCTACGAACTAAGACTGGGATACCATTAAAGTTCATGTGCATGTAAAGGCACGCGTCCCAATATTTTTGTCAATATAATGTCTACAAAGATAATCAGATCCAGCGCCATTGAGACACACTAGTGATCCCAATTTAATCAAGAGAGCAGGAGGCATTCAGCCTACTACCTTCACCCTCCTTCTGTCACCTTTGCTTACTGGTAACAGTGTTAGAAACTGATAGGATGTAGCCACAGAAGAGTCTGTAGTCCTGTAATGACCGTACTCAGTAATTTAATCAAGCCTGTAAAATATCCAACACACTTTATTTCTGGTCTTATGAAACAGACCTTCTTCAAACACAAACAAATGCATTGTAATACATTTTGGCTTCAAACAAGTTTGTTATATAAGCTGTAATTTTAAAGATTTTGGAACTCCTTACATAATATTTTGAATATTAAACCAGATATAAACAGAAAAGAATAAAGAAGACTACTGTGTGCTTCACTAGTTTGCTGAGTGAGTTGCTTGTGTGAATTGACTCGTTTTTCTTAGTTTAGCTCCTCTGCTGGAAATGTATTTACAAAGCAGTTTTTCAGCCTCATTTCCAATGCCTTGAAAAAGTATTCATACCCCTTGAAATTTTCCATATTTTGTCATGTTACAACCGAAAACGTCAATGTATTTTATTGGGATTTTATGTGATAGACCAACACAAAGTGGAACATAATTGTGAAGTGGAAGGAAAATGATAAATGGTTTTCAAATTTGTTTACAAATAAATATCTGGCTTGCATTTGTATTCACCCCCCCGAGTCAATACTTTGTAGAACCACCTTTCACTGCAATCACAGCTGCAAGTCTTTTGGGGGATGTCTCTACCAGCTTTGCACATCTAGGGAGTGACATTTTTGCCCATTCTGCTTTGCAAAATAGCTCAAGCTCTGTCTGATTGGATGGAGAGCGTTTGAACAGCAGTTTTCAAGTCATGCCACAGATTCGCAATTGGATTTAGGTCTGGACTTTGGCTGGGCTATTCTGACACATGAATATGCTTTGATCTAAACCATTCCATTGTAGCTCTGGCTGTATGTTTAGGGTCGTTGTCCCGCTGGAAGGTGAACCTCCGCCCCAGTCTCAAATCTTTTGCAGACTCTTAACAGGTTTTCTTCTATGATTGCCCTGTATTTAGCTCCATCCATCTTCCCATCAACTCTGACCAGCTTCTCTGTCAATACTGAAGAAAAGCATCCTCACAACAGGATGCTGCCACCACCATGTTTCACGGTGGGGTTGGTGAGTTCAGGGTAATGTGCAGTGTTCGTTTTCCGCCACACATAGCATTTTGCTTTTAGGCCAAAAAGTTAAGTTTTGGTCTCATCTGACCAGAGCACCTTCTTCCACATGTTTGCTGTGTCCCCCACATGGCTTCTCACAAACTGCAAATGGGACTTCTTATGGCTTTCTTTCAACAATGGCTTTCTTCTTTCCACTCTTCCATAAAGGCCAGATTTGTAGAGTGCATGGCTAATAGCTATGCTGTGGACAGATTCTCCCACCTGAGCTGTTGATCTCTTCAGTTCCTCACCAGTTTCACCCCGTGCTACATCAATCTATGTGCTCCCACTCTCTGCTTCCCCCCTCCACAGTCCCTGCTGCCATACACTGGATGTCACCCCCTGCTACATTAACAATGTGCTCCAACTCTCTGCTTCCCCCCTCCACAGTCACTGCTGCCATACACCGGATGTCACCCACTGCTACATTAACAATGTGCTCCAACTCTCTGCTTCCCCCCTCCACAGTCACTGCTGCCATACACCGGATGTCACCCCCTGCTACATTAACAATGTGCTCCAACTCTCTGCTCCCCCCTCCACAGTCACTGCTGCCATACACCGGATGTCACCCCCTGCTACATTAACAATGTGCTCCAACTCTCTGCTTCCTTCTCCACAGTCACTGCTGCCATACACCGGATGTCACCCCCCTGCTACATTAGTCCATGTGCTCCAACTCTCTGCTTCCCCCCTCCACGGTCACTGCTGCCATACACCGGATGTCACCCACTGCTACATTAACCATGTGCTCCAACTCTCTGCTTCCCCCCCTCCACAGTCACTGCTGCCATACACCGGATGTCACCCACTGCTACATTAACCATGTGCTCCAACTCTCTGCTTCCCCCCTCCACAGTCACTGCTGCCATACACCGGATGTCACCCCACTGCTACATTAACAATGTGCTCCAACTCTCTGCTTCCCCCTCCACAGTCACTGCTGCCATACACGGATGTCACCCCCCTGCTACATTAAGTCCCATGTGCTCCAACTCTCTGCTTCCCCCCTCCACGGTCACTGCTGCCATACACCGGATGTCACCCCCCCTGCTACATTAACCATGTGCTCCAACTCTCTGCTTCCCCCTCCACAGTCACTGCTGCCATACACTGGATGTCACCCCCTGCTCCAACATTAACCATGTGCTCCCTGCTAACATTAACATGTGCTCCAATACTCTGCTCCCCCCCCCTCCACAGTCTCTGCTGCCATACACCGGATGTCACCCCCTGCTACATTAACCATGTGCTCTAAGTCTCTGCTTCGCCCCTCCACAGTCACTGCTGCCATACACCTGGATGTCACCCACTGCTACATTAACCATGTGCTCTAAGTCTCTGCTTCGCCCCTCCACAGTCACTGCTGCCATACACTGGATGTCACCCACTGCTACATTAACCATGTGCTCTAAGTCTCTGCTTCGCCCCTCCACAGTCACTGCTGCCATACACTGGATGTCACCCCCTGCTACATTAATCCATGTGCTCCAACTCTCTGCTTCCCCCTCCACAGTCACTGCTGCCATACACTGGATGTCACCCCCTGCTACATTAATCCATGTGCTCCAACTCTCTGCTTCCCCCCTCCACAGTCACTGCTGCCATACACTGGATGTTACCTCCTGATCAAGCCACTTGTTCCCACTCTCTGCACTCCACTAGATGCCACCCTCTGAGTTCACAGGAACCACAACTACAGATGAGGCATCCAGTATCAATGCGCACTGTCAGTGCGTATTAAAAAAACAACATTGGGTGGATATACATCCACCACAATATTGATCTGTGCTGAAACCCCATGTGAGAAACCCTGTGTTATGGATTTGCTGTGCAGGGAAGCATACTGTTATTTACTCCACTCTTCCCCACAGGTCCTCCTCTTCTGTCTGTCCCAGGCAAATGTAATATCACCTGGGATGGACGAGAGGAGGGCTAGTGGGGATCAAGGAAAAATAGCATGTTACAACAACAGCTTCCCTGCACTGCCCTGCATTTGTTTGTTCACTTTTGTTATATATACAGCTCGCTGATCAGATCCAATGTTTCATGACCTGTAGATCTGAAATTTGTTTTTCAGGGATTCCCCGAGATCTTATACTTTTTTGCCAAGGGTTCCTCCAAGGTAAAAAGGTTGAGAAACACTGGAGTGCAGGGTTCAGAAGTATGTAACTCAGAGGGTTTAGGAGTACAATAAAAAATTACTCCCTCCTCCCAGTACAAATAGCCTCCAAACCCTTTTACGACCCCTAGCTGCTCCAATTCACCACACTCAGTACAAATTAAACATTATCAGTACAGACCCCCAGTACAGACCACTCCTTCAGTACAGAGAGCCTCCCTCACCACCAGTACAGACCCCCTTCCCCTCATTAAATTTACTAACCAAATGCAACGGAGACCTCAAATGCAGCAACGGGAAGTCCTCCCTTGGCTGTGTGAGGTGAAAATATGAGACTATCTTGTACAAACTGAGACTGTTCGAAATGATGGTATTATGAATCTCAGGTGTTGGTTGAGAGATCTACAGACACAGGCCAAATCAGTTCTCTGCTCTTAGGTATCTAATATTACAGCATTCAGTATGTGTTTTGTCTGTTGTACTGTAGGTCTGCTGTATAAAGATTGGAGAATAGAATGTACTGGCCTACAGAGAATTCAGCTCTTTGCTGTCTGGTACAGAATAGAAAATGACAGCAAATTGCTATTTGCTGTTAACATTTTTCTTTCTTTTTTTCCCGCAGTTTTTATACCAGGGCCTATTTTTCAGTGCTCTGTGGAGTGCTGTCTATATCATGAGGCTAGAAGGGATGAAGTTCATATGAAGTTAGCATGAAAATAATTGCATATAATGGGAAAATGGTCTGTCATTACTAACCATTAATAACCTCCTTTACCTGTGTCAGATAATGATTCAAAAGCCATGAGTCTCCTACTGGGCAGACTATTCTTGATGTTTGTATTTTTTTATTTATTTCAGGTACTTTTATATCTCCATCAATTTAGACAGCGCTTTACATATATTGTACATTCACATCAGTCCCTAACCCTCAAGTAGCGTACAATCTAAGGTCCCTAACTCACATACACATTTTAGGGCCAATTTAGACAGGAGCCAATTAACCCACCAGCACGTCTTTGGAGTGTGGGAAACCAGAGTGCGGAAGGAAACCCACGCAGGCACAGGGAGAACATGCAAACTCTGTGCAGGTACAGTAGTGCCATGGCTGGGATTTGAACCAACAACCCTAGTGCTGCCAGGTGGAAGTGCTAACCCTTTTAGCCACTGTGTACTTGTCTGAGATAACAAAATTACCTCTACAGTTTTCATAAACTGGAAAAGGTTCCTTTTTAATTTCATGTATTATACCTTTCTAACAACTTCCTTGCTAATTTATAAATGAATAGCTCTTGGTGATTGAAATGTACAAGAATCACAAAGTTGC